TTCATAACACTAGAGATTGACTTATTTGTGGCTGTGTGACTCACATCACCTTGGTTTTCTTTCCTCAGATTTGTTGGAAGTCTTGTAATCCCAGTCTTGTTTACTTTTCTCAAATTGTCCTCCCTAACATTAGTTGCTTGGCTTGCATATTTCAAGCCATGTCCATCATCTGTTCTGGGACCAGAATCCCTACTGATGTCTTGTTTGTTTTGGTCATCTGTTGACAGGGTCGGTCCGCTGATTGCCCCAGGCTTTGTGTTTGCTATACGAGGACTTGTTTCCTTGACCCGCATAACGCCACTCCTTGCTGGGGAAAATCCAGTCTCTTCTGGCTCAGGCTTGACCGTCATGTCCCCAGATTGTGGATTGGTCTTTCCCACCAAAACTCGCCTTTCATTGAAAGTGTTGTCAGCCTTATCCAAAATTTTGAAATCAGTTTGTCTGTTATTAGTTTCTGTAATTGGATTTAGATATTTTTCATTTTCCACCGGTCTTCCTAGGAAAGTCAAGTCCTCTCTATTCAAATTGGAGCTAGTCTCTTCCTCACTACTAATAACTACCAGACTTTCACTCAGTCCCATGTGCTTTTTTTCCTCTTTAATCATCTTTGGCTGTTCAGCTTGGTTCATAACACTAGAGATTGACTTATTTGTGGCTATGTGACTCAGATCACCCTGGTTTTCTTTCCTCAGATTTGTTGGGAGTCTTGTAATCACAGTCTTGTTTACTTTTCTTGAATTGTCCTCCATAATTTTAGCTACTTGGCTTGCAACGTTCAGGACATGTCCATCATCTGTTCTGGGACCAGAAACCCTACTGATGTCTTGATTGTTTTGGTCATCTGTTGATAGGGTTAGCCCAGTAATTGCACCAGGTTTTGTGTTTGCTGTACGAGGACTTGTTTCCTTGACCCGCATAATGCCACTTCTCACTGGAGAAAGTCCAGCCTCTTCTGGCTCAGGCTTGATCGTCATGTCTCCGGATTGTAGATTGTGGATCCTCACCAAAGCAGGGTTCTTCAGTCTGTCTTCATTGGTAACCTTGACAACTCTACTGTTTATGTAGGATCCCTTTGGCCTCAGTGATCCACCTACTCCAGGAAATTTTACAATCCTTCTGTTCCCAGCTGATGTGCTTAAATCCATTATCTTAGTGTTAGCATCCCTTGAAATGCTGCTTAATCCATTCGAATCAGGCACCTCCTGCACTCTTCTTCTTGCCGTCAGGATGCCACTGATGTTCTTTACATGTCCATCTCTGAGAATGTTTGGCTGCTGTTTCCCATGGGTTGAGGATTGTACGGCATCCTTTTTTCTAGGAAGGGACGGGGCTATTAATTCACTTTGCTTAGACTTCAGTTCTCTCTCTGACTCCTCAGGTATAGGCGAGAGCACCGGTTTGACCTTGGATATGTCCTCAGGTGTCTCGTCAAGTGAGGGGTTAAATATTTTTACTTCTCTGCTCATCTCAGACCTCTGATCTGTGGTGCCTTGGTTTGGAAAAATCCTTGGGGCAATGTTCCATTCCTGACTTTCCAAAATGGAATGATCAAGCCTCTTCACGCCATCCTTGATGGTTCCCTCACTTTCTGATGTATCTCCTTGCAGTAAGGTTGAAGTTAAGATCTGGACCACTTGTTCTCCACTATGACTTCTATGACTTTGTGTCTCCTTGATGCTGATGTTATGCCTTGGAATTTGAGGTCTTCTTTCCTTTTCCTCGCCGTATTCTTTCTGTCCACTTCTCTGGATACTATGTCTGTCTTTACATTCTTGGCAGTCCCTCCTTAGCTGGTTAACAACTTCCTTTAGGTCCTGCAGCTCTTTGGCCATTTTCTCCAGCTCCCTAAAAGGCTTGGGAAGCTGAATGGAGAGAGGAGGGATGGTGAGTTGATAAGGGCACAAGTTCTCCTCGTCCCCGCAGTGCCCCAGGGGCTTCAGCGTTACCCATGAAGCAATGTCCTCTGAGGTCTCTTGGCATATGTGACACACAGAAAATGCTAACAGGCTTCCCCATATGTAAATCACAGCAAGCCACATCGTGTCCTGTATGGTGCGCAAGTCTGTTCAATGTGTCTAAGAGTGTGTGAGAGAGAAGAATC